CTCTCTCTCTCCCTCCCCCCCCTTAACAAAGGCTCAAGCCTTTCCCAATCTGCCATTCAGAACACTCCTTTCCCTGAATGTGAAAGGCATCCACTGAGGCCAAGGAAAATCGAGGGTTTAAGGGGTTCATACCTAAACTCGTACAAAACAAAAGGCGCAGGGCATGATATTGGAAGGCCCAAGTGAACCTAACAAGTTAGGCTAGATACAAGTTAGATCATCTTGTTACACCGTTACCTCTGTGAGTGTGTGTGTGTGTGTGTGTGTGTGTGTGTGTGTGTGTGTGTGCATGCTTTGAAAGATAGGCCTCTAAATTGGTCTCTGGCTTCCCTGTTTACAGTCTCTCTCTCTCATCCAATTCATTTTGACCACTGTTTATCCTTCCAAATGCAAATTCTTATCAAGGTACATCGAAGGTTTCCAACTGCAATTCCAATGAAATCCATAAGGCCCCTGCCACTCACCCACTTCCCCTTGCCCCTCTGTACCCACAGCACCTAGAATCCACACCAGGGGAGCATGCGGCTTCCTTGTCCCCCACCTGTTCAGTGCCCCCCATGCATCTCAGAACCCTCATTCCTGCCTACTGGAGCTGATTTGGTTGCTCCTCCTGAATAATAAGGCCTTGTCTGGCACGGCATGCAACACTGTCCACTGACCTCTCGGACACAAACTCTCTGACTCCTCCTACACCTGGCCCAGCCCAGAGCCAGACACAGAGGTGTTCAGCAAACATTTGCAAGTGTCTGTATGACTGACAAGCATAAAGCATTCCCTTATAAAGTGACATCAAAGCTATTTAAACTTAAGAGAGGAAAGGACAACTTAGGTACCACGACAGCCCGAACCCTAAACTACAGTTCACCACCCAGGAGGACTGGCTGGCCTTCTGAACAATGGTGCACGCTTAATATCCTGAGAACCCAGCCAGGAAACTCACGGCAGTTTCTCTCGTCACTCATGTCACCACAGTCATTGTCGAAATCACACCACCAAATGCTGTTGATACAGTTCCCGTTGCTACAGCGGTACTGGTTGCGAAGACAGGTGTTCTCTAGGTGGGAAAGGGAGGAAGCGAAACCAGCATTATTCTCACCGCTGGACCACAGGACTTTCTCTGTTGAGTTTCCATTTCTCTTTCCCCAACACCATTCTGCCTCAGATGAGACAGTTGCAGGGAGGGAAGGTCGAACACAGACACATGCATAGGAGGTGGAAAACATCTCCCAGGAGCCTCCTTCCTTCCTCTTTAAATTAAAACTGATGAGAAAGGATAATGCTGGCACCAACTGGGCATTATTGGAGAGCAAATCTAAACATCAGCAGATTAAATACAAATTACACAAACAATTGCTCACCAGACTGCATCCTCAGATACAGTCAATACATCTATAGGTACAGTGTGCACCTACAGGGCTCTCTGTACCCACGGGTTCCAAATTCAAGATTCCGTCAACCACAGGATAAAAATATCTGGGGGAAAAATGCATCTGTACTACACGTGCACAAACTTTTAAACCCCTTGTTGTCATTCACTGAACAGTACGGTATGACACCTATTTCCATAGTACTTACATTAGAGATGGTTTAAAGTACAGAGGAGACTGGGTATAGGGTCTATACAAAACTTCATTGTTTAGCACACTGGATCAAGGACACGGGATACCTTCTAGGGATAATCGAATGTCCAGTGGTGACCACGGAGAAACCTCTTTGCCCTCCCCTTGGAATTTAATGTTGATTCAGATGTCATTCAGATTCCAAAAGGAAGTCTCCTGTTTCTAAGGAAGGAAGGCTCATCTTTTTTTCTGTTTGGTTTTCTTAAGGAAACTGGACTATAAGGGTTCCATTGTATACTTGCTTGCCATGGTCTCAGAGAAGTGTGGTTAGGATTACAAAGTAAATATGACTTAGGGAATAAAGAAACACAGGAGTTCTGCCTCCAGTGCAGGCACTTCATGGAAAGGCCCCCTTTCCAGAAGCTCTTACTGATAGCAGTGTGAAGCTAGGGGCAGGAGAAGTGCTGGGGGTGGGGGTAAAACAGGGAAAACACCAGATTCTCAGAGGAAAGGCTTTCATATTCATGTGTTCAAATTCTAACCGGCTGAAGATGAGGCTACCACCAACAGTTATTTGGCCAGAGCTTGGAGGTCAAGACTTTCAGACCTTTGCAAACATTGGTCTGAAAGTCTACATCATTTCAAGCTCTGGGATGGCAGATGGAGAGCACTCTACTCTGATACAGTCAAGCCAGTTGTTTGGAAGGCAGGTTGGTCCAACCCAGAGAGATTGCTCAGTGGTTTACAGTGCTTTCTGCTCTTCACAGGACCTGAGGTTAGTTCCCAGCACCCATGTCAGCTGGTTCACAACTGCCTACAACTCCAGTTCCATGGGATCCAATGCCTTCTTCTGGCCTCTGCAGGCATCCGCACACAGGTAGTGAGCGTGCACATGCACACAAACACACATAAATAAAAATCAAAGAAATCTTAAAAAAAAGTCAAGTTGAAGAATCTAGATGTGAGGGATGAGTAAGCAGAGGAAGACCCAGAAGTTGGACCCTGAAGAAAGCCTGTGTCATCTGTCATTAAACCAAGAGGCTATTACTTTTACATGAATAGCACTGGAGCATTTTGCATGGGCACTCAAGTAACAAAGGTCTTGGAACCCAAACCAGAACACTGCTCCATATCAAATGGCTTTCATGACCACCTGGAACATTTTCCTATAACTCAAAGGGCTAACACTGAGGTAGGGAAGGGAAGAAGAAGGGCAGAAAAAGGACACACCTTCTTTGACACAGGTGCTGTTCTTCCGTTGATAGCCCTGAGGACAGTCACACATCAGGTCCCCAGAGGGGAGGACACTGCTGGTCACACCTTCCGGACACCTGCAGCTTTTGCTGTTGTTGGCCTTAGGGAGGCACAGCAGGCTGCAGGGCTGAGATACACAGGCATTGCTTCCTGGAAAGAAAACACACAGAAGCAACAGATCAGTTAATGCATGCCAGATGGGAGCCCAAGAACAGGAGCACTGCAGCTGCCTCTTACAGATATGAAAGTAAGGAGCTTAGAAAGTCTCTGAAGCATCTCCCATGCTGATAAACCACTGGTCAGAGGCCTGAGTAATGGCCTGATCCACACAGTGAGGGCTGCCCCAATGACTTGTCTCCTGGTCCCAAATCTAGACTGCTTAAGGGCCCAACCAGGCAGGTGTTCCTTCTGGTGATATGGACTAAGTTACTCAGGCTAAGAAAACAACTAGGAAGTTGGAGCAGGAAGAACGACTGAGCATGGGGCCTAAGGCGACACATAGGACCTAAGCTGTGTGCAAACCATAGCAATGACAAAGCAGAATCTGTGGGTACAGTCGGTCTGCAGAAGCAGGAGGCTGAAGGAGACATGCAGAGAAGAGGGCTGCTGCTAGGCCCCAGGGAGAGAAAGGGAAGCTCTGCCATTCCCCACTCTGGTCTCCATGAGGGCTGGCCATCTTCGGGTTCCTTAACTATCATCTCCCTTGTTCTTTCAAGTCAAATGTTGACTAGTCAGTACTTTCACTTGAGGTAGCTTTAATGAGCTTCTGTTCCTTAGGACCCCAAAGCCCTTCCTTGCAACATATACCTAGACAATGGTCTCCTTCTCAAGTTCTTTGTGCCAGAGCACAGCTAAAGGGAACCGTTCATTAAGCTGATTAGCCACTATCATACAGTAAGTCCACATAAGGACAAGTTACTATTGATTATGGATCTACCCCACTGTTGCTTATCCTTGGCTCTGCTCAGTAAAGAGAATGCCAAGTAAGCTTCTTTTCCTATTGCTGACCAAAGCAACTCAAGGGAGACAGGGTTTATTCCAGCTCACAGCTCCAGCGTACAGCCCATCATGGTGAGATGACGGAGCTTGAGGGAGTTGGTCATGCTGTGTCCACAGTCAGAAAGCAGAGAACGAAGAATGCAGTGCTGCGCTCAGCTGCCTTTCTCCACTTACACAGTCCAGGATCCCAGTCAGGAAATGGTGACAGTCCCCATAGAGGGTAGGTCCTCCCACCTCAACTAATGTAATCAAGATAGTCCACCACAGACATGCTAGAGGCACATCTTCCAGGTGATTCTAGATTCTGTCAGGGTGACAGTTAACACTGACATCAAAGTAGGGAACCATCAGTGTTGACAATGGCAATGGTACACTCAAGAGCTCCGGAGGTATTGGTACTTCAGTGGTTTTAAGTGGTATCACAAACAAAAGATAAAAATCACAAAGACTTGGGGCTGGAGAGATGGTTCAGCAGTTAAGAACACTGACTGTTCTTGCAGAAGACCAGGGTTCATATCCCAGCACCCAATGGCAGCTAACAACTGTCCATAACTCCAGTCCCAGGGGATCTGACAGCCTCTTCTGTCCTCCTCGGGCATTGCACAACACGGGTGCACTTGCCTACATGCAGGCAGTACACACATATGCATAAAATAAAAATAATAAATAAATAGTTTTTTTTTAAAAAAGCACTTTAATTACTTAAAAAAAATCATAAAGACAGTAATGATGTCATTTTGATGCTAAGGAAAAGAGAGTAAGAGGCAAATAAATATAAACACAGAGACACAGAGAGAGAGAGAGGAGAGAGGGGGAGAGAGAGAGAGAGAGAGAGAGAGAGAGAGAGAGAACAAAATTCACATGATAAAACATTCAAAAAGATTCCAGCAAGTGACTCAATCCATAACAGCCTCATTTTCAGAGCAGAAACACCAGCTGACCAGAGCAGAAGCCATGGACATCAGCTTGCCCTGATATCTGCAGACACCAACTGTTCCTTTAGCTCAAATATTCAAGTCCTTGGCTATAGGTGGGGAGGCAAAATTGACACAGGTCCATCACTAATGAAAAACAACTCAAAGGGATGTGGGGCATGTTATTTTTGTGTTCACAAGACAACATATCAAAACTCAATATTCTAGGAAAATGAATGAGAGTCATTTATACGTACTCAAATACAGGATGACATTTTCACATGAATTGTGTCCATAAATATGACACAAACAGCCTAGCCAAATAAGCAAGATCTGAGGTCAGCTTAAGGAAGCAGATTCAGGCAAAGCTGGATAGTGTTTCAAATCCTAAATAAGCAACCAGGTCTGAGGGCAAGAGAGAGCAGGGCAGAGCATCCAGGCTGGTACAAAGCCACAGAACAGAAAGCAGGCGTGTTACGTGAGAGAGCCCTGCTGAGGATGGAAGGAGAATTCTTTCCCAGACACTTTACACAGGATGCCAACAGTATGCAATGTGAAGACCACCACCATAGGTAAAGAATGACAGGTGGGAGGGAGCTACTACCTTCAAAGATATCCTCTTAGAAGACCAAACACCCAGCCCCAGGACATTCTCACAAGGAACAGCCAGAACATCCCCAGATTTCCTCTTTGAAAAACTCCTTCAGAACCAATTAGGAGCCAAAAAGTACTATCCTCTCACTTCAATATCTATACACTTGGCAACACACCAAATTCATACCAAATATCCACTCCCATTATGGATGCTTAGGACCCTGAATTTACTGCAGGCCCAGAAGAATTAAAAGAACTCCAAAATGCCTCAAGCTCCAACTGACTACGCCAATAGTCTTGCAAAGTAACCTCTTTACAGAACAAAAGAGAAGCTTTCTGTAAGAAACTGCTGTAGCACTGCTGAAAAATCAGCCAGATAGCAAGACAAGAAATGCATTCACTTATAACCAAGTATCTCAAACCGATAAATGTTCCAAGTAAACTGAATTTTTATCACAGACCAGCATCAATCAAACTGTAGAATTCTAAATTGCTGTCAGCAGAGCATTGCTATTTCAAGTAATGGATGGTCAAGGGGGTAAAGCCTGATGGTTTCATTAAAGTTTAAATTTCAAGGTCACCTTGACTCAAATTCTTAGCATATACTACTATGTATGTTACCTGGACAAGTTACTAAACCTGATATTTATGTGGGTAGTGGATAAAACGGGAATAGTCATAGAACATGTAGCTTTGGGAGAGTCTAAGGAAGGGTTATAGAAGCCCACAAAGCACACTAGTGTGGTATGGATGATAGAGCTATCCCTTAATAAATATACTTATTATTTTATACTTGGCTAATAGCCTTATATGTGCTAAGAGTGAATAATAAAAATATTGAAGATAGCCTGGCATCCTTGGCTGCCTGTGACCATTCTGAAATGGCCGTAACTTCTCTGTGTCCTACAAGAGCAGGGAGGTTATTAAAACAAGCTCATAGCCAAGGGGCCTGCACAGCACTGACAGTCAGACTCACAGCAAAAGCATTAACTCAAGCAGGTCTGTCTGAGAGACTGTAAACTTTGGGCTTTTTGTTTTTGTTTTTGCCCTGTATCTGGAGCGTGGAAGTCTCTTGGAAGGTTCCTGTTCACCATTAAAGGAGAATACAAGAAAATCCCAAATGGAAAACTGGAACAAAGAGATTCATTAAGTACTCCTGGGTCAAAATGGCAGTCACAGGTGATCTTGCAATTCCTGTCTCTCTCTCAAACCAGACTTTCCTTCATCTATCCCAACCCCCTTTCATTACTCTACTCTGGCTACTTTAGATGACAGTCATGAAGGGGAAGTAACACCTACGCTGAGCATCAGTGCAGCACCAGGCAACCACGTGCACAGGTGCTCAGGCACAAACTCCCTCCCACTGTTCCCCAGGGGCTGGGCGTAACTGCACCTCAACTATGTTTGAGTTGCTGGGCAGGAAGCAGCGAAGATGGGGAGTGTGGAGCGTGGGATTGCCATGTTCACTGAAACAGAGTGTTGTAGAAACTGCTGTGTGCATAGCCAGCACGCCTACAAGCACCTGTGAAAATGGAGCCCGACTCTCCTGAGCTAAGTGGCATCTTAGAAAATGCTCTGTGGGTCTGTGGGTGGAGCTGGAGCAGTATTCTCCGCAAGCCCAGAAATTATACCCTGGAAGTTGAAAAGCAAGGCTCTTTTGTCTCCTACTTTAAATGCAGGTGTCTCTCAAGGTCAGGTCCGGCTATAAGACCCTGTCTTGAAAAGAAAAGGAAAGGAAAAAAAGAGAACCTTCTCCTGAAAGGAATGAAGCTGCTTCTTCTAGCTGTAGCTCTCACACTGATGAGGACCTTTGGGAAAACTAATTAGTTTCTATGATTTCATTTCCTGACCTGCAAAGCGTGGATCGTTAATACCAGCTCTCTTCCACCCCAGTCGTTGTGAAGTCCTCACAATAATACTGACTTACATTTGTAGGATGCTCTATAGTCTTTGAAGGGCGTTCTCAGGCTATCATCCGCGGTCCCCAAGGGATAACAGGGATATCTAAACTGTATTATTTTCCTTGTCAGTTTTCTCTTGACACGGTGAGCCAAGAAGCATAAAACAATATCAACCCTCCAGTTCAAAACAGGAACCCAGCAGTTTGTCAATAAAGGCAAATCAGCAGCCCCAGGATGCTATTTAACCCTGTGGAGATAAGGGCCATACTTAAAAGGACTATTCTTCCTGGGGAAGTCTGATATTTCTCCAGGAAAATCAGCAGTCTGCTTCAAGATAAGCAAAGGAAAAGGGCAGCCAAGGAATTTTCTATGACTCATTCTCGGTCTCCAGTACCAGCAGACAAAGTCTGGAGGTAGTTCTTGAACCCTGAGTCAATAGTTTTAAAACTAGTGCATCCAGGTGTAGTAGTTAGTACCCACTTGCAACTGCAGCACGTAGAAGGCTGAGACAGGAAGATCAAGAGTTGCAGGCCAGCCTGGGTTACATAATGAGACTCTGTCTCAAAATAAAAATAAAATATACCTGATGACTTATATCCATACACAGGTGCCAAGGATCCGAGTGCAATCAACTATGACTAGTAATAATCAGATACATACAGATTAGAGACACATGCGCCAACATGTGTTATTAGCAAAAACAATGAGTCTTTCTGTAAGAAACAGTATATTTTAAAATGAAATGGAGATCTTTTTTAAAGGTTAAAAACTCATTCAATTTTATATCTTACAGGGCTTATACTGAGTTCAATATTGTATAACTGTATTAATTCAACTGTGAACCTAAAAATTTATAGCCACTTTTGAAAGATATATTATCTTTGCTCTGGAAATTGTTATTAAGTATGTTAAAGCTGTAATGAAATGCTTCTAAAAAAATTTAAAAAATAAAATAAAAATAAAAACAAAAACAATGAGGTGTGATGGCTCATACCTATAATTCCAGCACTTGGCTGAGGCGGGGGGATGGCCAGCCTGGGATCTGTAGTAAGTTCTAGGCTAGCCTGTGCTAAAGTGTGAGAAGCTGTCTCAAAATGCTAGAAACGAAGAGGGGGGGAAGAGAGAGGGGGGGGGGAGGGAGGCAGACAGCAGCTGTTTCTTCTTTCAACAAATAAGTAAGAACTGAGTACCCACTAAGTACTAGAAACTGGCTAAAAAGCTGAGAAAGGAAGATTAGTAGTTCAAGGTGGGGTCATGAATTAAAACACAATCTCACAAACATTGCCATGGAAGTGGGTATGTTCAGTGGGCATGCAAGTGTCTGAGTACCCAGCATGCATCCCTCCCTGTGAGCATGCCAAACAGGGATTAAGCACATGCTGGGCTTCTCCCAGCTGCAACAGAAGCCCACACCACCCATCAGTGAGGAGCCAAGGGCAGGAGGAGGGTGTAATTACCCACCAAGTACCAACACTCCAGGCAGGCAAAACATGCTGTCTTCCAGCTGTTTGTGTATCATTAGAAAAGAAATTAAGATATCATTAGAAAGAAATTAAATAATGTGCATGTTGTCGTGACAACAGAGAAGCAGGCTGCCAGATTCTGCTCTGAGTGGAGATTGCTGATAAGTGGCCCCTTTCTTGACACTGACTGGGGAGACAAAAGAGGAGACTCTGCCTCACCAGTGTTCTTTCCCTTGTAGAAAATCTTCATGTCCATCAGGCCCGTGAGCTGGCTTGCTAGAATCTCCATCTGAGACCCGCTGTATTTAGAAGCTCGGAAGATGCTGAGCTGTGACCAGTCATCCCAGTAGATTTCATTCTAAAGAGAAAACCTTTGCCTGTTAATCCGGCTCTGTGGTCTTTCACTCTGGACACTTCATAAGGACAAGAACCTCTCCACCCCACCAGGTAAGGACAAGTGATATTCAAGTGAATGATCAGCCTGGTCAAAATTCCACCTAAGTGTGACTGTCAGTGATGTTATTGAAACCTCATCAACTGCCCACAGGAAGGAATGGCCCAGAAGAAACTACCCAGTGAGCACTCAGTTTGACCACAGCCAAGTATCTTGGTTTGCAATCTGCTTCCCCATGTTGGGCAGAAGCATTTGTTCTCTTGAATGAGAACAGTTGAAAGGCAATGTAGGTGGTATGTAGCTATCCTGAATCAGAGAGCAAAGCGAGCAAACCCCACAAGGATGAAGATACTGAACTAAAACGAGGCAGTGGAAAGCAAACCAAGGACACTCATAGGACCTCAACTTTCAACCTTTTGAAACGTGAGCAGTGGTATAAGCCAGGATCCCTGGCACCTCTGCCTAGCATCCCTCCATGAGGGGGAGGTAAACCATTCAAAATGTGGAAGAGAATCAACTGCCAGGACATTAGACAGCATCTCTACAAGAGCCCAACAGGTCTCAGCTCTGCCCCTGCCATGTTCTCCTGGAAGACTGCATATGGAGGGAGAAGGAGGACTCACCTTAAAGACAGCAATGGCGTAGGGATGCGGGAGGTTGTCCAGGATAACTGAGCGTTGCTGGCCACTGAAAGTGATGCGCTCAATACAGTCTAGGTAGGCATCTGTCCAGTAGATCCACTGACTGTCCACAGAGATGCCGTTGGGCCACTTGACATCCTCTGATACAAGGCAATAGGCAGCAGATCCATCCATATTGCTCCGATAAATCCCAGGCTTCAAGTCTCCCCAGTCAGTCCAAAACATCACTCTGGTCAACAGAGGGAAAGAACACATCTCTTCAGAGTGAGACAAGGGAGATCTGATCCTACTCCAAGAGGCAGGAAATTCTCAGAACAATCATTATTACAATTTCCTGTCATTATAATATTTGAAACTTCACTCAGAAATGAAATATTAGAACTTGACTCAGAAATTCAACTGCTGGAATTCATCTATAATCCAATTATTCTGATATTATACAAAGAAATGTGCACAAAATGTTAATTGGTAGAGGAAGTGATATATGGTATTACACAACAAAATACACCTATCGCAATGCTCCAAAATATTATATACAATGGATGACTATGAAGCTTAAAATTCTATATGTGCTCAGATAAACTATCTTCAATTTAGCATGTCCTTTGAAAGGTACAAAATCACAAGTACACTATGATTTTATGTGGTGTTTGTCTGTGTACAGTGGGAGGGGGTTATCCTAAAAGATAATGATTGTACATGAGTAAAAATATTTCTAAATGATACATATAAAACTACTAATAATGGGGGCTGGAGAGATGGCTCAGCGGTTAAGAACGTTGGTTGTTCTTGCAGAAGACCCAGGTTCGAATCCCAGCACCCACATGGCAGCTAACAACTGTCTGTAACTCCAGTCCCAGGGGACTCAACAGCCTCTTCTGATCTCCGAGGGCACTGTACAATATGGGTGCACTTAGCTACATGCAGGCAACACACGCATACACATAAAATAAAAATAATAAAT